AATTCCATAGAAATAGTCTGCTACTTCTGGAAGATTGTAGTGTTCAGCAAGATATACCAAATTCAAAATATCTTTCTGGAAGCAACTACCACCAAATCCAACGCTTGCTTGCAAAAACTTTGAACCAATTCTAGTATCCTTGCCTACCGCATGAGCTACCTGAGAAACATCAGCTCCTGTTTTTTCGCAGAGAGCAGAGATGGCATTAATAGATGAAATACGTTGTGCCAACATGCAGTTAGCCACTAATTTGCTCAACTCGCTGGACCACAAGTTCGTAGTAATAATTCTTTCCTTTGGAACCCAGTGCTCATAGACCGATGACAATGTAGCAATAGCTTCCTCACTTTCACCTCCAATGAGTACTCGATCAGGATTATTCAAATCACTGATGGCTGTTCCTTCTGCTAAAAACTCTGGATTAGACAAGATATCAAAGTGAGCCTTACTCTCTCCAGAGGTGAGAATTTTCTTCAATGCCATTGAAGTTCTGATCGGGACTGTACTCTTCTCGACAATGATTTTTCGTCCGTGTTGAATGGCGTTTCTCAATTGTCGTGCGCATAATTCAATATATTTCAAATCTGCTGCTCGACCCTTTCCGATACCGTAATGTTTGGTTGGAGTGTTAACGGAGAAGAAGATAATATCGGCATCAAGAACAGATTCGTAATCAGTCGTGAAATGTAAGTTCTTTCCTCTTCTTTCAAAAACAAGCTCATCCAAGCCAGGTTCATAGATTGGTAATTTATCACTGTTCCATTGGTCAATTCTCTTCTTGTTCACGTCAAAGATAACTACTTGAATGTGATGGCATTTGTTGGCAATGACGGCCATTGTAGGACCACCCACATAACCGGCACCTACACAAGCAATCTTTCTAACAACAACCGAGGATGATGAATGAGTGGAATTATTGTGATTCATGGATGATGTGATGGCTTCTGTAGAGGGAGCTGACATTTTTTTCGTTACGTTACCTTTTCTCAACGCACACTCTCAGTTTTCGTTGGAGTTGTCTAATTCGAGAAAAGGAAACAAGCTGTTGCTGGGTAGTTGGGGAGTTCTGACAAGAACATCAAGAAAAGGTTAATGAGCAGGACACTTCTTCAAACACTTTCAGCACTCATGAACGCTTACATGTGAATTCCAACCCAGCTGAAGCCATACAATTCGTTCCCAATAAAAAGTGAACTTTCGTTTAAGGTCACATGAGGAATAACGTTAAATGAAATTGTTGTTGGAAAAGAACGGATTTAAATATTAATAGTAAGTTTCGTTTGGAGACCAGCCGATTCATGACGCACTTGTTCCCTTAGCTCTGATATCCATAGCAACATCGGACCCGACTGTTGTAGCCCGCTGACTGCGATTCCACCAGCAAGTAATCAAGAGCGCACGCCCAACCTCTGGCTTCAAACAACACCATCAAACAAAATGCTTCCACAAGATCAAACCGACAATATCATCACTCACAAGAAGCTAGAAGGACGAGTCAGCATCGTTACAGGTTCTGGCAGTGGAATGGGAAAAGCTATCGCTCTCCTTTTTGCACAACATGGATCTAAAGTGGTAGTCACAGATGTGAGTGAGCAACGAATTAAGGAAACGCTTGATGAGATTCAACAATTGGGAGGTGTTGCCATTGGAGTGTGTGGAGATGTTTCCAAACAAGAAGATGTCGATCGTCTGTTCCAAGAAACTCTCTCACAATTTGGAACGTTAGATATTCTCGTAAACAATGCAGGAATCATGGATAACTTCATTCCATGTGGAGATATCACTGATGAAGTCTGGGAAAAGGTAATGGCAGTCAATACTACCGGTCCCATGAGAACAATGAGGAAAGCCATTCCCATCATGTCCCAAAAGAAGAATGGAGCGATCATCAACATTGCATCGTTGGGAGGCCTTCATGGTGGCCGAGCAGGTATTGGTTATACCGCAAGCAAGCACGCACTGATAGGAATGACCAAGAATGTTGGTTTTCATTATGGTGATCAAGGTATTCGTTGCAACGCCATTGCTCCTGGAAGTGTTCAGACCAATATTGAAGTTAAAAATCCTCACCATTGGGTGCAGGAAAGATGTTTTTGGGATCTCAATTAATGCCCCGTCTTGGACAACCATCTGAGCTTGCTAAGGCCGCTTTGTTTTTGGCTTCCGATGATGCCAGCTACGTGAACGGATCTGTGCTAACAGTAGACGGAGGATGGTCTTCTTTTTAAGATAGGATCCATTGTATAGTAAATGCACACAATTACGTCAAACAGCATATTCGCGCCTTTCGTATACAACACTCACCCTTTAAAAAAAATTGTCTTTGACATACAACCAGCCCTCAATATTATTGTACAGACATGGTTGCTTCCGCGATTGTACCTGGGCTCGGGATTGGATATGGAGTTGTTGTATTTATTATTTCGTTGATTTGTGGTTTTTCTTTGTGTTGTTGCTGTTGTGTGGTTAAGAAAAAGAAGTCAAAAACGTAGGTTCCAAATGCTGCAATTTTCAATTTACGTGGAGCTAAAACTTCAAAGTGCTGTCATTTTTCTTGCCTTGTTCATTCCGATATTTATTTTCCTCTTCTTTTTGCTGTCTCCGAAGATTCCATTAGACAATTCCACCGCAACCAACGTTTTGCTCGCTTCAGCTCAGCAAAAAGTGGATAGCTATTATTTTGCCAGATATGCTTTCGTTACAATTGCCATTATTGGAGTCGTTTGTTTTATTCCAATCTATATCAAGATGTTTGTGTTCATGCCCAAATATGCAAAGCCGCTAAACCCATACAAATTGAAGGAAGATTAATCTTCTTTGCTGTGTTGAGGTTTTTCCGAATTCTTAGACTCCTTAAGAGACTGATCCTCAAGCAATTGAATGATTTCTCGATCAAACGCAAATAACACTTCTGGCAACACGACATATCGAACTAATCTGTACATGGAGAGCCAAATAATGAAGGCAAAAACATTCAAGTATTGTTGGAATATTAAATGAACAATGGGTAATCTGATTGTTGGTTGACCTTCAGAATTACTTGTTTCAAACCATGAAGTGAACATGTTTGAAAGTTTGGTGATGGAATAATGTCTGAAAAGCCCAGCCCATGCGCTGTACATGATAACAATGGATGTTATTGCCATTCTGCTTTTTTGGCTGATTGCAGGAATTCTATTAAGTCTCGCAAAGGCCAAGGATCCAATAGTTGTAAAACAAAAAACCTTATATAATGTAGGGAAAGACATGACTTTTGATGTATATAAATCCTTGAGAGAAGTTTTGTCTCCAGCGCTTGTTTCTTTTGGTTTTTCTAACCATTGTGTCAATTCATCATCATGAGGAGCCGATTGTGCAAGTTGGGATCGAAGTGGTTGCGAAGAGCACTTTTTCAAATCTACTAAAAACATTTCTATCATTTGTTGTAGTGTTTCTTGGTCATGTGGATCGTCTGTCAATTGTTTTCCCTTCAAAGACTGAATATCATGTAAAATTTTGGTTTCATAAAACTCTTTTGGATAATAGCCCACTCTAATTAAAGAGCGAACACTTGTAATTAATTCTTTAAGTTTTTGAATTTGTGTACTGTCCAATGTTTGAGATGATTGATGCTCTTCATCATTTGAAATTAGAAAATTTTGTTTCATCAATTCATTAAATTGTTTCTTGTAATAAATTATTCCAATAAAATTGGCAACTAGTACAATTCCTCCCCCGATAAGAAACAAATAATATAGTTTTGGGAGTGAATTTGCAAATGGGTGAGTGGAATTTTGGTTTGGCTTTGGATTGGCCAATGATGTGGTGAGCAGAAAATTTGTCGAGTTTGCTCGGAATGTCCGAATATTATTTTCATTATTGTGAACTCTTCCCATTACGACGTTGTTCTTTGCCAATAAGATGTTAATGGTGGTATGAGGTAATGGATGTTTTGCGAGCACCATCAGCGCTCGTCTCTTATCGGCAATACTCTTTGTTTCGCAATGAATCAATTTCTTCATTTTTGTTTGCGATTTCACACGCTCAAGAATTTGCGTCCTCATCAAATGATTGATCAACAATAAGTATTTGAAACCAACGAAAAGGTAATTAATTATTTTACTTTTATCACTTGTAGTACTACTAGTGTTTTCATCCGTAAAGAAGTTCAACAAATCCTAATTGATACTCGTTCACGTGGAAGAGCATAATATTTAAACATTTTCCTGTGTTGATGTTGACTTTGTTCTTTCCTCTAACCTTCGATTCAGTTCACCCCGTAGGTCCGTTATGTTATGCTTTTTAACTAGCTCTCCTTTCAAATACGCTCTCCTCATCTTGTTCATGTTGTCTTCATTTAAACTAAATTTTGTATTTTCCGATGATGAAGTAACATCAAATGTTTGGTAAGCAACTCGTCATTCACTCCGTATTAATTTCCAAATAAAACATACTAAATGGTAATACAATCTGTAAGTGCTTGCAGCTCATCTTTACACTTCACTGCAATAGACAATAATTTGTCTTTGGAGCAATCAGCAAAATTCTTGGACTCCACTTTACATTGTTTCATTCCGTACTTCTTGAGTCTGAGCTTGAGAGCTTCATCTGCTTGATTAGGAACTTTCTGTTTCAATTCCTCTGGACTCATTGCATCAATCTCTGCAGGATCAAGGTTTAGATGAAAGCGCTCTCGTTGATTTTGCATTTTTATTTGTCTTGTTGTCTTTTGAGAGCCAATTTTGAAGATTTTCAAATTATTATTATTTCGGACATTCATTTAACCTTCATAGTCCTATTGGTTTTCATGACTTGGTGAACACTTTGGAAGACGGATACCCTTGTTTCGTGAATATTTTAATCATCACCAAGCCAGTTTCTTTCGTAAACGGGTCGATAGCCTTTTAGTGGTCCCTCCATAAAGTTTTGTCTTCTCACCAAGTACTCATGTCGTTTCACTTGGTCAGGATCTAAATTTCCTCTTCCCCAATTACTATGTGCTGCTTTGTCTTGTTTTTGAATGTCATCGGATGCGAGTTGGTTTACATCTTTCCATTCGCCGTCTACTTTAACGAATTGTGTTTTTGCAGAAATATGTTGTGATTCCGTATGCACTCTCTTTGGAGTGATCATACAAATATATCCGTATTTATCTAGAGCCTTCTTCCATAACTCTTCTATCATCTCATCATTCGTAACAGGTTTATACTTCCGAAAATTAGAACGAATTTCTTGTATCAAATTTTCTCTCTTTTGAGCAGTGGGTATCAGCAAGGATTGCTTGAGCATCCTTCGGTACAGGCTTAAAACATCTCCTTTGGTTAGTCTTTGGTGCATGAGAATACAGGGTAAATGATGATAAACATGCACACGTGTTTTTAGTATGAATTCTTGTTGAATAGCAATAAATAATTTTTTGAATGAAAAAATGAAACGACTGCTTGGCAATCACACTCCACCTTCCGAAGATGAAGGAGGCATGTTTAACAGCACAAAGAAGACCAAATTCAATGATTCATCTATGGTTGAAGACGATTCAAGTATTTTGTACGAGGTAAAATCAAGAAAATTCGGATTGCCTGCAAACGTGAAGAAATTTTCAAAGGCCGGAATTCAACATGGGATAGCTTGGGTTTTGGACAATGATAAATTATTTGTTTGGGATATCAAAAAAGGGTTGGCCAATTCTAGGCTCGCTCTTTGTTTGGAGAATGTACCAATGTCAGAGACTGTGCCTGGAAATTGTTTTATATCGCTGATGATTCCATCATCACAATCGGAATCAACAAATTTCTCTCTATTTTTTTGCACACCCGAAGGCAAATACAAATACTGGTATGACATTAGCTTAGAAGATGAAGAATCTCAGTTTAAGTTCGAAGTTGGAAATCTGTTGAGAAAGCTAAACTTTTGTTATGATTCCCTTTGCTTGACTTGCATTGCTCCAAATCAATTGAAGGACAATCACTTATATTTAGGAACAAAAACTGGATATTTCTTCGAGATTCATTGCTTACCAAACGGAGAGATTGATGTTACAACTCAACAAAAAGCCTATGGGTCTCAAAACGCATCAACTAACACTTCGGAAGGCCTTTTTAGTTGGCTTACGTCATGGAACAAAACTACTAGTACTTATAGTGAACCAGAAGCCGTTATTTCCATTAGATCCTCGGACGATTATTTCTTCATTTTAACTGAAAACAGTCTCTCCAAATACACAGAGCAAGGAAAAGAGGTAAGCTTAACATGAAAACATTTTGAGTAATTGATAACATCATTTGTTAGCTTTGTTGGAGACGTGAGATTCTTGCCGAGCTAAAAAAGCTTAACTTTATGAAAAAGTATTCATTAAGGCTCATTAACATTGCCTATGACGAACCTCAAGGAAAAATATTTCTGTTGTCTTGGTGTACACCAGAAGTTTTTGACTCTAACCATGTTCCTCTTGTGAACTATCTGGTATGGCCTCTTCAAATTCACGATAGATTTATGGACAAGTTTATTGTCGAGTCTCCTGTAACTCTACTCTCTGTTGACTACAATGAAAATAACGAGTATATTTATAACAATAGCCAGATGGTTTTTGAAAAAGAAAAATTATTTGTTTCAATTCTTGAAACCTTGTCGGTTTTTGAGAGAAACAGAATGATTCAACAAATTGAGGCACCAGAAATCTTGTGTGCAGGATCCATAAGCATTGCTGACATATGTATTATTAGTAGAAATGGTGATTTGACACTAGTGCAAATTTCTCCAATGAGCGACTCAGAATCTGACAAAAAGACAAACGATTCACAACTCTATGACCAAGATTTGGATAATACTCAATATGACCCTGAAATTAGTTTCGCAAATGTTGTTTTGGGATTATTTAGAAAGAGAAATACTCAAATAGAATCAAATGCTAGTATTAGATCCGCTGTAGTCAAAGCTTGTGAGCTTTTGGTAGACAGTATACCTCTATCAGGAAGCTTAGTTATACCTATTGACAGTATTGATCATTCTGTTTTTTCAGAAAAGCTGTCTATTCTTATTTCAAAAACTTTGCAGAAAAAACTGGAAGATTATACTCAATTTATCATTTATTTACAAGACTGCAACATTTTCCAAGCATTATCAAGACAACAGTTACTGCAAGTATTCGAATATGGAGAGAAAATCTTTGTTTGTATGAAGCTGAGAGAACTTCAAAATGAACTGGGAGGTTATCAAAAGAAAGATTTTGATATACTGATTGCAGCAATGAATCTTTGTAAACAACGCAAATTACACTCAAATGTTGAGAATTTTTACATTGAGGTGTCTAAGGTACATGAATTCATTGACGCGATACAAACTGCTGCAAAGAAAAGCAGCAGTGTGACACTCGTGAATAGAGTGTATCAATGTTTTATTGATGGTATATGTAGCTTCCGAGAAATGGCACATACTACTCTTGGACTAGGAGACATATCGAGTACATGGACCTCAGAAAAATCTGATCTAATCGTTAATCTTTTTTATGAGCAATTTAAAAAGTCAGCAAACGCTCTGAATGAAGAATATCAAAATTCTGCACATATCCTGAACCAAATGTTTGAAATTGCTGACTTTTTATTTTCTATTTTGAGAGATTTAAAGCAACAAGATAATAGCAGGTTCCACAGCCTTCAATTTGAACAAAAGAGAGATGCAATTATTTCCACCTTTAAAAACAAGAATGACATTGGTGACGTTTCTCCTAAAAGCTTTGCCTTGACCTTAGCTGAAAAGTACAAGGATTTCAAACATTTAATTCAACTTACAGAAGAGAGACACCCACTAGAGTCTGAAAGAATTGCTCAATACTCTATTTATATTAGAAGGTTTAATGACTTTGCATCATATCTATTTTCTTACTTGAAAGAGTCTAAACGATATCATGAATTACTTGGATATCAATGGAGTATCAAATACCCACAACAGGTTGGAGCAGTAGTTGAATCTGATGCTAACTTGAGATGGCTTCATAGTATTCAATTGAGTAAATTGGATAGCGTTCAACAATCACTGACTGAGCTTACAGATGAGCCCTCCAAAAACATTTTAAAGCGTGATTCTTTAATTACCATGAGAAATAGATTATCACTTTTAAAGCTCGCTTCTTTGGCGTCTAATGATACAAGCAGTGCTCAAGATCCATCCTATTTTCTCAAGTTAGTGTTCTATCAAGAGAAACTTGCCACAGATTTTACTCTAGAAACTTCGAACAACAACTGGACAAAAGAATCATTCCAAGGTGCTGTAGAATTAATGATATCTGTATACAACGGTATTCCATCTGACACCAACATTATTAGAGAAAATCAAGAAAAGCTTTTAGAGAGGCTTAGAATTGCGTGTGATATTTACTGCATGTGGAGAGAAAGAGAGGGTGGAATAGATGATGAAACTCAGTTTAACATTTTGCTCAACATTTATACAGCTGCCTTTTACGTTTCTTATCAATTATTGGCAATGGTAAATGCAAAGAATATCGTGGATGAAGAAAAGCTCATTCGTGATTCAATTCTCCATAAATTGATACAGGAAAATACTGGTAAGAGCTCAGCTGCTACAGAACAACTCAAAAAACGTTTGCTTTCTTTCTTTTCTAAGCTGCATTTACAAAGCGTCTTCGATCTTGATTAAACTCAATATTTATTCACAAATGTCTATCTTACAACAATTCATCAACAACCAAGGCAAGATTTCCGTTATGTTTGTCTAGTAACTGTAAGTTCTTGGTCGTATCAGTGAAACCCATGACTTCAAGCATTTTGAGCTGCTCAGCATAAGGCGTCTCAACAGGAGATTGCTCCTCTTGTTGAGCAACAACTGGTACTGATTCTTCAGCAACTGGTTCTTGTTGCACTGCTGGTTGAGAGATCATTGGCTCTTGCACTGCTGGCACCTCTGTAGGTTGTGGCACTTCTTCAACTGTTGGTTGCACAATTGGAACTGGCGAGCTGTTGGTTGGATTTACCCAAATAAAACCCGATCGTTCAATAATGTTTTCTTCGTTTTGAGCTGGTTGTTGCTGAATTGGTTGTTGGATAGCATGCTGTGCTTGTTCGAAGGCCTTCTCTTCTTCTTGATCTTGTTCTTCTTCATGTTCAGTAACTCGGATCAGTTCATCCGATGATGATGGTTCAGTTGAAGAAGATTCCGAAGCACTTGCTGATTGTCTTCCTTTGAAAGCACTTTCAAATAAATCACTTGTTGCTTCAGCAGCATTATTAAGCAATGGAGTGATTGAATCAACAACGCTTGTACAGAAATCTTCAACTGCCTTTTCAAACTTCTTAACTTCTTCGTTAGATCCGAGCTTCTTCAATTCTTGATTGATTTGAGAGCAAAATTCTTGTCCTTTAGAAACAAGTTGCTTCTTTTCCTTGTTAAACTTTTGGACCAAAGCTTGTTGCTGTGTTTTGTAATTGTAAATAGCCTTCATCCACATATTGGCTTGTCTAATCTTGATGTTCGGAGAACAAATAGCCTTGCAACAATACCAATCATCTTCGTTTCTGAGTATGGCCCATTCATTATCACTATCACAATATTGTAAATCTAACTTGTCATTGGAGATTTGTTGTCCCAACTCTTGGTAAAATTCAACGACTTTGCTCTTCACGTCTTCTAACGTTGATGAAGGGAGTGCAGTGAATCTTCGGATGTGATCCTTGGAAAGATACAACTTGATGATCAAGTTTTCTTGTTGTTGATCGTTTGAAGAACTCATGATGTAATGTTGGTTGAAATTTTAGATGGACGGCTTCTTGTTTGTGCTAATCAGAGTCAAAAAAATATCTAAAAGCAACAGCTTGCAGTCTCGTGTGTGTCGAGTTTTTTTCTTGTGTTTTATTTTTGGTAAATTCCAATTCGAAGATAAAGACATGGAATTGGAAGGAATATTAATTAGAACCTAAATTATTCCATGTTACCACGTGTCTGCCCCGATTTGAGGTTGAGAAGGAATTGAATGAGTGGAAGATGTTTGGATGTCAATTTCAATGCCAAGTAATGGAAAGTAGATTTCATAGGTCAGAGAGGTTCAATATTTTCATTTAACTGTTCATCTCTATGTACAATGTGAACTCAACTCCCATTTGGCATGGATTCTGCATGGCTTCAGCACACAACTCGAATCGTGCAGAACACAGCTCGGAACATTGATACCACCCGCCTTTTACCCTACAAAAACGGCTGTTAACCGCCACTAAGTGTACAACTTTAAAAAAAACGACTCACATGATGGAGAGAATATCATCTCTCAGAGAAAACCCAACGAACAATAGTAGCGTCATAGACTACGATGGAGAATCCGTGCATTCCAAGGGCTCTAACCACTCAAAAACAAGCTCGGTGGTTCTTGGAGGAAATACATTGCTAGGCCAGTTTGAAAGCGTAGCCTTCTTCTTTCTTGTTTCCATAAAGCTACCAAAACCGGTTCCGAATTTGCTAGTAGTACTTTTCAATATCATGCTGCTATGGCAATCAACAAGTCTAGGATGGGAATCAGGTATGTGTAACAAATCCAGCAGCCTTTGCTGAATTCTTTATTTTGCTTAATTCGATATTTCAGAATTTGCTTGGGGTGAGAATGGAAAATTAGCTGCAAAAGTGATTGCAGTTCCCCGAACGTTGGGAGCAAACTGGTATCCTTATCAATTATTTATGGCCATTTCCATCATACTGGCCGTTTTAGAAATTATTTCAATGTTGTCAATATATTTTGCATATAAGGCTCTGCATCGAGGAAGCAAACATTCAGAAAAAATTAAGAACACAGTTCGGACTATATGCATATTGTTTGGAGTATTTGGATTGGCTTTCGTCTTCTCACTTACGTCGTTTTGGGCATGCGATTACTCTACACAAGGACTGTTCGAGGATGGTGTTGCCAAGTATGCTCTAAGAAGATTTCCTGAAGTAGCATGTTGGTAAGTACAAACTAAGCGCTTTAGGATACCATTGCCAATTTCGCACAGGAACCCACTAAATGGTTCATTTGCAGTAATTTCGTTGGTTTTCATGATCATCCAGATTCCGCTCACTTTTTTGGGGCTTATTTTACTGAGCGACACTTGGGTGAACAAGCACACTTGGTTGAGTATGGACAACCCCTTCTTAATAGCAACGTGGGTATCACTAAATCAAGTGTACCTCATCATTTCTCAAGCCCTTCCTCCTCAAGCATTTGTAGCAAGACCAATACTGTACTTAATAATCTCTGTGATCTTGTTTGCGTATTTAGTTTATGACCTACCATTTCATCATAGGATTGTGAATTCAGTATTTGGTGGAGTATTTTTCAGTAGAATTGGTGTCGCAATATCAAGTATCGTTTCATTAGAAGCAAATCCAACCAATTCTGATGATATTGGATTTGGAATATTGTTTGGAGTTGGATTTGGGTCTTTCATTTTGTTCTTCATCATTGGTTTTGCGGTTGTGGAAATTTATTCTCAAGTAATTAGTAGATACGTGGAGAGACGTCTTCGTGGATTGAAGAACGACTCTTTGTCTATATCTTCAAGCCTCAAGGAGCTGGTTAACCCAAGAGCCTTGTTTCACTACATGAAATTTTCTATTAAGAAGAAAAATGACAACGAGCTAATATCTAACTTTATTAAGGCAGCAACGAACCAGAGACTGGAATTAGACACTTCGAATTTGATAATATCAGCACTATATATATTTTACAAATTAGAGGAAGGTCACACCCCAAGTTTTGCTCTTCATCTATTGGCCAAAGCTGCCAAAAAGAACACCAACATCCTCCAGAGATACGCAGTTTATCAGAGAACCAAAGAAATTGAGGCCGATTCCTCTCAAGGCAAAAATTCTCTTGAACTAAGACATATCCTGAACACAGTATCTAACATGCAAGAAAAATTGAGACAGTACCAAAAGCTATTTTGGAAACACTTCGTTTCAAACGAAGAAAACAACGAAAAGGTTTACAATCTTGTGAAAATGATGCATTCGTTGATGGAAAATTCTACTACTACCTACAATAATCTACTTGTTAATTACAATAACAACGCACAGGTGTTGAGAAGCTATGCTCAGTTTCTTGAAGAGTTTTTGTTTGAATCCGAGCTTTTTAATTACTGGAAATCCATCAATGGATGTGAGTTGAGGCATAATGAGTACGAGTTTTCGCTTGTATTGAGGATCATCATAAATAGGATTGCTTCTAAAGTAAACGCTGGTGAGCTGTTTCAAAGGTGCTAGCTTCTCAACTTCTTTAAAGCTCGGTATTTGGTTATCATTGCACCAAAATTCTTCCAAAACAGTCAAATGAGAAAGATGATCAAGAGATTTGATAAAATTGTGAGCTAAATCCAATAGTACAAGGTTTGTTAAATGGTCAAGTCCTTCAATCACTTCAATACCATTTTCACTCAAATACAACTCCACCAATTGAGAGAGGGTATCGAGACGATGAATTTTTGTAATCCTATTACTCTGAATGCTTAATCGAGTCAAATTTACAAGAGTCTCTAAGCATTTAATTTCAGTAATTTTGTTCTTTCCGAGCCATAATTCTTTTAGTGTGGTGAAATTTTCTAAATGTTTGATTTCTCGCAATCGATTAGATCCCAATTCAAGTAACTC